CCCCCCTCGCTCCAATATCACTCAAGATACTTACCTTAAATGACACAAGATAGCACACCCCCTGGACCGATTTTCAAAGCTCGATTACTCCACGACGAAAAGGATGCATAAACGAAACGAATACATTTTCGAAAAGCTCTAGACAAGACGGTTTCAACGCCGCCATTTTCGGCGCTGTGATTGTTCCTGCAGTTGAGAAATCGAGCTTCGAAAATCGGTCAAGGGGGTGTGTTATCTTGTGTCGTTCGTATACGGTAGCCCGATGGAACAACCTTATCAAGGACGGCATGTACGAATGACCATGCTCAGAACAACGGAGTAGGCGCGACTACCCCGACGTGCTGCACGGTAACCAAACCTCCATTCGTACACTAACTGCTCCATACGTCACCAGGAAGACCACGTGTGGACGATCGAGACCTGCATGGAGACCATCAACCTCCTGCGCGCTCGGAACAATGCTCTCAAGGAGCAGCTGCTCGACGTCGACACGAACTTCACCGACCACGTGCAAGCGCGGCAGCGGAAGATCCAGGAGCTCACCCTGGCGGTCGAGAGCGCCTCCGCAATCAAAGCACAGTGAGAAAGGAAAAAGCTTTCGGGGCAGGGCGTCTGTGTTGGTTCCTCCTGCTCCCAGCCCCATGACCCCCCTGATGCGTCTTGAAATGGCATGCGTAATCGATGGTCAAGTGTCCGAAGGAAATCGATGATTTAGTTTTCCCTCATGCATCCCCCTGAACGGAATTGTCTAGCGCGACTACTTCAATGGAAGGGGAAGGTGTAAACTGCGATCGTAAGAGACCGTCGAGATGACGGTCTTGAAGACAAATCGTTAGATACCTCCTCCCCCTTCTACCCCGCTTGACCACGTTGCCTCGCCTACCGTTGCCTGACCTACCATGGTCGATTCGATAATTCTTGTCTCCATCGACCTGCTACAATCGCCCCGCTGTCACTATCGTCTGCCAAACACAACGTCTTTTCGTATATCACGTCTCCGTCGACCTGAAACAGTCACCCCGCCCTTTTCCTACCGTCGGCGCCCCGTCTGTCAACCGCAAGCACAGGCTTGAAGCGACCGTGGAGTCGGAGAGAGGCGACCGCCGGCGGCAGGAGAGGGACCAGCAGCGCCAGAGGGAAGCGGAGGCCGCCGCCTATCAGGAGACCATAAAAGTGGGTTGCTCGATACCTTCCAAGTGAACGAGTGCCCTATTGCCATCATCTCCGCCTTCCTGCGTGATGCCAACGCGCGCGCCAGTCTCGTATTTCTCTCTCTTCCACTCACTTTGACGGAGTCTGCGCCCGTGAAACTCGAACCGGCATAATTCTTCTTGCCCCTTCTTATCGTTGACAGTGAGTACAGTGGGCGCCACCACGTGATCACCAGGGAGTCAAGAAGTTCAGTCTCGAAAGAAATTATTTCAAGAACCTGGCCATAACAACTCGTCTTCAGTAAAAACATGCACCGATGCTACTGTAGGGTACCCCACACAGAGGGCAAGAGAGAGCCCGCTCAATGTTGTAAAAGGTTCTCAAGTGGTGGCGCGTACAATGTGCAATGAGCGGAAATTTTCTTGTGACCGACTCCGTGGCTTGTCGGCTCCGTCTTGGGCTAGGTACTCCGGACACACAAACCGGTACAGTAGTGCTCTCCTTCCTCGCCTCTGTCGACTTCATATCTCCGAAGGAAAGGACTTCCGTCTGTCTGTCTCTCTCTGAATCTCTAAGTAGATAAACTTGTCCTCGTTGTAGGCTCAGACAGCCAGGACAGAGAGCTAGCAAGTCTTCTCTGACTACACGATGACGATCGACTCGCCGCTGCTGCTGTGCAAGGCAGGCTCTCACATCTGAGGTGGAGAGCTTGCAAGGGTATTCTGGCGAGAGGGACCGCGTCAACGCCCAGCTCGCGGCGCTCGAAGTGGCAAACGCGGAGCTTCAGGATCAGCAAGAGATAAAGGTCGGCTCGTTCGCGCGCTGGTTTGACATGGAAACGTTCAGCTGGTCGTCCACGACGATGATCGACTCGCCGCCATGCAATGCAGGATGGTTTGCGGCGATGCCTCTAATCGCTGGCTGCGACGAAGTTGCTGCTGGTGTGACCATTGAAGGCAGCTTTTCTTCCACGCCCGCCCCCTCCCCGCCACTGTGCTTGCTTGCTGCTGCTGCGCAATTGCTTTTGCACCACAACATCACGGATGACGGCGAACAACATCATCACGGATGACGGCGAACAACATCATCACGGATGACGGCGAACAACAATTACGACCGATGTCGCCGGCAACAACCGAACGAAAACACACGACTGAAGCTTCAATCGCTGAGGAAGAAGCTCTCGGAGGTTGAAGCGGCAAAGAAAGACGAGGTCGCCCGGTTGGTGCTCGAGGCGAAGGAGAACATGCGCGATGAGGTATTTACCGCTAACGTGGAAGGTTTTTTATGTTGTGGTGTTCGTGCTCTTCGCCGCCGATGAGTTCGCTGTTCATTGCTGTTGTTATTATCGCCTCTTGTTCACATTCAGCACCATCTAGGTGCCGCCCCAGTTGTGCACGGACGTAGCGCGTAAGTTTGAACGGACGTCAGCAGACTGACTTCCCCAACAAACGACACTGCAAAGTCTCATTGGAACTTTGACGCTCGGTGTACTTCACCGTCACTGAGCGGGAAGGGAGCGTGCCGAAGCCTTACAAGCGCGTCCAAGAGGTCCTAACCCCGTGCCACTTGTAGCGAGATAGACATGTAAAAGCTGTGTCCTCTCTGGTGCGCAGAGAAATAGGTAAGCAAACAAGCTCAAGGTGAAGCGAGAGCGGGACGAACGTCATTTACGGGTACACGACAGAACAACCCACTCCAATGCTTGGGGGCAAGCCGTTGTTGCGTCTGTGCCATGCAGTAATTTGCTGACCGACTGATAGATGCTCAGCGGCTTTTCCTCCCACTACCCGTCCGCAGGTCGAAATCGCGTTCGGGGGCGCGCACGAACGCCTCCTTAAGGAAAACCAGGAGCTGAAAGACAAACTGAAGCAGCTCGACTCCAAGCTTCAGGCGAGCTTAGCTTGTCAGCCTTTCTCGCCAACGCTCGTAACAATTTCGCAGGGGGGGGGGGGTCACCCAAACGATGTACGCTGCCAATCGATCATATTCTTAGAAATTAATATTGACGAGCGGGATTCTTCGAGCCTTGTGCTAGGAGCATGATGTCGCTCATGAAGTCGCCTAGCATAACTTCCTCAAATGATACCAGTAGAGTTTTTTACCTGGTTTGAAATTTGTTAGATCAAGACTTATCCACGATGCTACTCAGTCAGCGCTGACTAATTAGCATAGTGGACAAGTCTTTATCTAACACCACCTACTACGGTCATTGTCGGCGCACGATTTTTGCTGCCGAATGCGTTGTCCTTTTCATGCTTCTCCGAGGAACGCCCTCCGCTAGCCGCGGCATATCCTAGAGTCGCTTTCGTCCCCCCCCCCCCCCCCCCCCGGTGTTCGCCATCGGGATTGGGTTTTTGTCGCTTGGC